TGGCTACTTTTGCTTAGGACTTGCGGAACTTGTTTATGTTTTGAAGTAACCTGCCCTTTGATTCTTTGTATCTCTTTCCCACTCAGTCTCGTGTCTCAGCTTTATTATGTCTACTGCTGACTGGAGTTGGGCTTGTTCGCTAAAAAATATTGGCGTGCATTCATTCCGTTATTTATCTGGGCTTCTTTAGTATTTTACTCTTATGTGTATGTGTGTGTGCACATGTGTGTGGGTGCCTGAGGAGGCCCCAGGAGGGTGCTGGAGTCCCTGGAGCTGGAGTTACAGGTGGTTGTGAGGGGCCAGTGTGGGTGCTGGAACTCCTGTCCTCTGTAAGAGCAGCGAGTGCTTTTAACAGCTGAGGCATCTCTTCTGCTTCCTCTTTGGTTTTTAAACATTTTTATTTTAAAAGAATTACTATTTTATTTTGATAGGTATTTTGTCTGTATATCTGTGTAGGCCAGAATATGGTGTCTGATCTTCTAGAATTGGAGTTTCAGAAGATTGTGAGCTACCATGTGGGTGCTGGGAACTGGATCTAGGTTCTCTGGAAGAACAGCTAGTAGCCGGGCGGTGGTGGTGGCGGAGGTGGCGGCGGCGGCAGCAGCGGCGGAGGCAGCGCATGCCTTTAATCCCAGCACTCAGGAGGCAGAGAAACCCTGTCTCGAAAGAAAGAAAAAAAAAAAAAAAGAGCAGCTAGTGCTCTTAACCACTGAGCTATCTTTCTAGCCCTGATTTAAAAAGTATTTTTTAGGTTTTTTTAGGATTATTTATTTTATGTGGGAGTGTTTGGCATGCAGGTAGTCGGATCCCTTGGAACTGAGTTACAGCCAGTTGTGAGCTGCCACGTGGTGCTGGAAATCAAACCTGGGTCTTCTGCAAGAACAAGTCTTCTTAACCACTGTGCGCCTCCTCTCCAGCGCCGAGCCCTGAAGTTTTAAATGTAAGCATTCATAGTTACAAACTTCCGTTTTGGCTGTAATCAGAGCTTTCACCACTGTCCTTTGCATCAGCTTGTGAACTCCTTCCTCAGGGGTCTACTAACCATTCAAGTGTGTGTCCAATTCCTACGCTTGTAGCATTTCTTCTGCTATTGTTTTCTAGTTTTACTCCCCTATGATTTGATAAACTCTGAGAAATGGTTAATATTATTACAGCTGTTGTATCGGTTTGAATTTATGTTGAGTCCTGGGATCCTGGGAATATTTGAATGTCAATCAAAGTCCTACATCTGGATTCCTGAAGCATGTGGGCAGGTGCTCTCAAGAGGGTGTGTGTTTTGGGGGACAACAGGAGGATGGAGCAGGATATGTTCTCAATTGGACAAGCTGTGGCTGATCTCATGGGAGCCCTGGAGCATGAATTATACAAGATAGTCTCCATTTTAGCCAGGGAGGCGGGCCCATTTGATCTCCATGGTAACTGGCCCAACCGGGAAGAAGGTGGGTCTCACTTCCGAGTACTTGTAAGTATTTCAGCAGCTGCCAAGTATCTGTAACATGGGAGGCTTGCGAGTCATAGACCCGTGGCTACGGCTTAAGGGGATGTGACTCAAAGAGACAGCATTGGTGCTAATGGTCTCTGCATACGGCATCCCACCCAGCTGGATCTTTCTCTGCACATAGCATCCTACCCAGATGGACCTCTTCCTCTGCATATGGTATCCCACCTAGCTGGATCTTTCTCTGCATATAGCATCCTACCCAGATGGACCTCTTCCTCTGCCTACAGCATCCCACCCAGCAGGACCTCTTTGCCTCCCTTTCCCGATCCCTACGGTGTATACTACCTGGGCTTCTTCCTCACCTTCTGACTTCCTGTTGCTAAATGGACACATGTACAGAAGACTGCTCCAGGTCATAGCTGGACCATAGCTGCATCTTCCCCAAAACCAGAGCTCCCCTTGCAGTGTCCTTCTGATTGCCTATGCTGTTATTGAGTTCCATGCCAGCTCCCTACCGACCTTTGGTACCTCTCTCAGGCCATACCTTGGCAGACATCTAACCCTCTTTAATTATTCCTTTGAGAGTCTACCT